CAACCCACAGTTTCACAGCCGCGGTTCCTGAAAGGTTACCGCTGCTTCCCGCTAGGTTCCCGCCATAAGGTCCGGCTGAATGTACAAGTCTACAGTCGCCAATGTGTTGATTCGCATAATTTCGTGCATAGACCGCCACCGTGTTATCCCAAGTCACTGGACCAATTCCCACGGCCGCTCGAGCTGTGTTATGGGAATTAACGTAGTCTTGAGGTGAGTCTTGGGCATGTAAGGGAATAATTAAGGTTACACTCGTTAGACAAATGAGGGGTAATAAAATTTTGGACAACATCGTTTTTGGTTTGTGATGGAAAATAAGAGTTTAGGCAATTGATGAAAATTGCTAACATGTTAGATTGGAATTTATAGGCACATGGTATTGGAAAATTAGATATGGATGATGACTTCAAATTGGAATTGGGTAAAAAACTTGTAACGGTAGAGGAATTAATTGAGAAAAAGTCAGTGCTTTACGGTGTCACTTTACATGAGCATGGACACGAACTAAAATAGTAGCATAAGCCAAAAGAAATTGTTCTAACAATGAAGGGTATTGAAGGGTTAATGCAGGGTGATTTTCTTGATTGAAAACTAGATGTTTGATTATTTATTTATTTACTGGTAGGCCAAAAGAAACCAAAAAAACATTGCGTCTATACAATAGAAGATTAGGCCCTTCTATTGGCCTATTGACTAATCAAATTTAGTAAAAACTAGCGGTGGAGAATATTCAAACTCAAAACATCCACTCCTCATATAATCAAGAAGACTAACAAAACCATACCGGATTGACAACTATCTATTTAATTTTTATTTTTTATTTTATGAAAAATCATGTATATTTTCTGAAAATTCATAACGAGAAATAACCCATATGAGGTTTGACTTCAAAATTAGATCCAAATTTAATACATCAAATTTATTAATTACAATGAGATGTTTGATTTTCTTTTAAAGAAAAATCATCTATATTTTCTGAAAATTCATAAATAAAAATAACTCACTTAGGTTTGACATGAAAATTAAATCAAAATTTAAAAATTAATTAACAAAGTTGTGTTAGTGATGTGGCTAACATTACTTGTTCTTAATGTCTTAATGGTAAAGCAATTAAAATTAATTATGGTTCAAATTATATTTTATAAATGGATGATATCACATAATCTGGAATGTGAAATAGTAAAATATAGAAACTTGCAAAAAGAAAGAAATGCAAAGTCAAACAAAGGAGTAAAGATATTTCCAATTCACAAATGATCGACAAGTAGTGCAATAGTTGTGCATTACATTATTGTATATATTCCATTTTGCTTTCAATTAATTAAAAAAGAAAAATACTTATCTAGATTCCATCTATGGGCCTACATAGACCAGATGAATAAATGTCATTAATTATTTTTTTAATTATTCCAAAAAAATAAGAAAAAATTAATAATGCAAAAAAATCTTATTCTTCCTCCTCTAACCTCAGCTCTGCATTGTGATTTTGTTCGAGTGATTTATTTTAAAATCACATCTTGGTAAATCTGAAATGTCTATTCTCTTTTTTTTTTTTTCGTGTTGGTTTGTGTTGTTTCAGTTTAGTTTCTTCAGACTCTCTTCATTTTGCGTCTGGGTATTTGCCAAATCTGCAAAAAAGACTCATTTTTTAAATATTCTTATCGAGGATTCAAAAGTTTTATTTTGAGAAATTAAAAATTTTTTACAGGCCGTAATCGAACATGGTTTGCCAGTTTTGTTGCATTATCTTTGTTTTTCTTTATTGCTTTCATTATTGTTCCACTATAATTTATTAACCTTACTATAAATCATCACACACCAACGTAGATAAGAGCGGATGGAAAAGGAGATGTTTGTCTTTTTGAAATAAAAAATTTAAATAATAATAATATCATTTTTTTATTGGTTTGGTCTATTTGTAAAACATTAGATTTGAGTCTCGAATTTTCCTCCGAGTAATTAAAAAGATAAAAGAAATTTTACCAACAGGGATTAGTCTGAGTGGAAAGGACTAAAGTGATTAAAACTGGGTCTAATCGGTAAGAAGTCAGTTGGATTAATTCACTAGATTCAGTTGATTAATTCACTAGTTGTATATAATTTTTAAAGGTTAGATCTATTGATAAATGGATTTGATTTTAATCTAATCGATTAAAATTCAATTATGGCTTCTAGATAACAAATGAAAATTTTTTATCGTTTGTGTTTCTTTAGTCCAAGTATAAAGTTGCCTACTGCTCTCTATCTACAATCACCAGTCACGGCAACCTATCCATCACAAACTAGATATTTCTTCACGGAGTGTTTACGACTAATAGTGAAGAGTGAGAGATTTTGAGTTTGAGTTCTCTTGATTACAATTATTTTCACCAATTTGGTGAGTCAAACATCTTATGTTGTGTAGCATGCAGTGTTATTTTAGCTTATAAAAAGCCTCTAATGAATTTTTTTTTTTAAAAAAAGCAGGATAAAGATAGTTTGATAATTTTTGAAAATATCTATTTTATTTAAATAATTATTATTTTTATAAATATAATAATTATTATTTTTATAAATATATTATATTTTCTACTCACATAATTGATTTAATTATATTCTTACAACATTATTTATGAGTTAAATTTTAATATCTTCTCTCTCTCTTTTTTTATATAAACACTTCCATCCTATTGAGTGAGATTAATTAAATCTAGACATCTAAGGGTGCTTTAAGAATTTACCACTAATGTTTCCTTCATATATGTGTACTTTGGTTCTAATATCATTGACAAAAAGTTAACCACACTGAATACTTATAGTATATATAGCAAAAGTGAATTAATTAATGCAATTTGATGTGAATATTAACAACCTTTTTGTCACAAGATTAGAAACTGATCTACTATGTGGGTAGCAAGTAACCCTATTGGTCTTTAAATAGACTAATTAAGCTTTGTGTTACGCCCCGCACAAACAATCAGGTAGAATTGCAAAGGCAGCCTCCACAATTTATAAGCAAGGCTTAGAAGGGTGCAAATTGGGCTGCCACAATATGCCAAGGCTTGAGAAGCCTCTAGCCCAAAGTTGGAGGTCCAAGCTTGTATTCTAGAAAACTCCACATTACTCCACCCAAAAGATATTTTGTGTAATGTCTAAATAATTCTAGAATTCTCCTTCTAATCTAGACCGTCCATTTTTGTAAGCAAATTTTAGCCGTACATTGAGGAGGTGGAAATGGCTATAAATGCGACCCCTCACCTCACTTGTAAATCATCCAAGGCAAAATACAAAACATTTGAGTAATAATAGTTCTACAACAAAAGTCTTTCTAAAGCTCTCTTAGTGCTCTCTTCTATTGGCTTCATTCTTCGCTCCATCGTTCTTCTAGTGGCTTACTTAGGGCTCGTCCTAAACACCAAAAGGTGGACTGAGTGCCGCATGGATAGGCAAGCTAAAACCTATTCTCCGTGACAGGTGTATTCAGTGCAAGCAACGGTTCCATTCCTATCTAGACCGTCCATTTTTGTAAGCAAATTTTAGCCGTACATTGAGGAGGTGGAAATGGCTATAAATGCGACCCCTCACCTCACTTGTAAATCATCCAAGCAAATACAAAACATTTGAGTAATAATAGTTCTACAACAAAGCTCTTCTAAAGCTCTCTTGTGCTCTCTTCTTATTTGGCTTCTATCTTCGCTCCATCGTTCTTCTAGGCTTACTTAGCTCGTCCTAACACCCAAAAGGTGACTGAGTGCCGCATGGATAGGCAAGCTAAAACCTATCTCCGTGACAGGTGGTATCAGAGCAACGGTTCCATCCTAGGTACCAAGCCTTTCGTCTTGATCAAAGGCGAACGAGGAAGCTAATGTGGTTGTTGCTGAGGGATAACAACTCGAGCATGCTGAGTCTGTCCGAGGCCGTGAGCCATCACGTACTCAGCCTAAGAGGGGGAGGTTGGTGAGTCTGAGTAAAGAGTTAGAGCTCTTGAGCAAGCCCTGTCCACTCAAGAAGCTCTTGTGGGCGAACTCTTTGAGCAACTTGATAATGTTTGCTCAGGAGAACGAAGAGATCACCAGGGCTGCCAAGGACATGATCGTTGAGCTTGGCAGAGCCATTCGAAAAGAACTTCGAGCCCTTGCGAATGAGATGACTGAGGTACAAGAAATTGCCAATTCTGAAGTTAATGCTCTCCGAAGGGAAGTAGATGCTGTCTGTTCTGAATGCCGGATGCACCAACGAATGAGTTGTCTCGCCTCAACTAGTGCCACCACTGGTCCTGTGGTATATGGTCTGAAGTTGCCTAAGCCTGCGATGTACAACGGTTCACGTAGTGCTTCGATGGTGGAGAACTTTCTCTTTGGTCTTGATCAATACTTCGAGGCCATGGGGGTATTAGATGATGCTACCAAGATTGGCAATGCCCCCACGTTCCTCCGGGATGCTGCTCAACTATGGTGGCGAAGGAAACACGCAGAACGTGAGAAAGGCACATGCACTATCCATACGTGGGAGCAATTCAAGTTGAATTATGGAAGAACTTCGTGCCTTATAATGTCGATACCGAAGCAAGGGGTAAATTACATCGTCTACGACAGAGTGGTAGCATCCATGATTACATCAAGGAGTTCACTACCCTTATGTTGGAAATCGACGACCTGTCTGACAAAGATGCTCTCTATTACTTCAAAGATGGGCTAAAAGACTGGGCAAAGGTGGAGCTAGAGCGTCGTGGCATGCAAGCTTTTGACGATGCCATTGTTGTTGTTGAGTCCCTAACTGACTACTCCACCCAAGCCAAGAATAAGAAGCCCGTCCTTAGCAAGAGTGGGGGAGAGAGACAAAGTCAGAGGAAGGACCATCATCGTAGGGAGGAAGGTCCATCTAAATCATTCGGTGGAAAGCACGATAAGCAGTTTAGGAAGAATGATTCCAAACCTCCTAAACCTTGCTTCATCTGTGAAGGGCCACATTGGGTGCGAGACTGCCCAGTAGGAAGGCAATGAATGCCATGGTCGCTGAGTTCAATAAAGAGAAACAGGCGACAAAAGAAACCTATGCCAACTTGGGATTCTTACAATACTTGAGTTTTATAGCAAGAACTCTTCCTCCTAGCATCCCCAAGATGAAGGGATTACTGTTTGCGGATGTAGCCGTTAATCAAGAATCAGCTAGCGTCATGCTAGACACAGGGGCGACTCACAATTTTATGGATATTAAGGAGGCCAAGCAACTAGGCTTGGACATTGATGAAGGCAGTGGCACCATCAAAACTATAAATTCCAAAGTAAAGCCAATTGCCGGATTTGCAAAGGCTGTACTAGTCAAAATTGGCTCATGGTGCGGAAAGCTAGACTTCACTATCGTGCCCATGGACGATTTTGATATTGTA